GATGTGAGAAATCAACCTATAATGCTATTTTGACACAATCAATAAGGAATCAAGGGTTTAGTTTCTCATTTCTTTTATTTCTCGAGCTTTCGGGTCAACATGCCCTTCAACACGGAGATCCAGAAGTACAACTTCTAGCCAATTATAACATGCTGTTACCAAAATGTCATGCATAATTTATTCATTTGGATGTGGTCTTTTCACCTAATGTTTCTAATCTATAATCCGAATTGTATATTATCATGCAAAAAGTATAAATGCCATTATGCCACAATTTCCCAAGCTCTCTATGGTATTGGCTAGAAGTAGTATTTCTGGATCTCCCATGTTGAAGGGCATGTTGGCCCAAAAGCTCGAGAAGTAAAAGAAATAAGAAGGGGGGTCGGTGGAAGAATGGTTTAAACGGCTAGTTATCAACCGCTACATCCCGGGTTCGATTCCCACATTGAGCACTTTTTTCTGATTAAAAAAAAAAAAAAAATGCTCGATGGCCCCCGATTCTTGCAAAAGTCCAATCCCACCAGCAAGTGCAAGTAACCAAACGGGGCTCTGGCACATTTGTAGGTGTAAAGTTGAACTGCTTTTCACCTGTGTAGACATGTGATGCACTTACAGTAAAAAGCAGTCGCCTACTTCTATCCACCATGATTATTGTGGCCTGCACCACGTGTACTAGGGATAAGTAAAAAAAAAAAGAAATGAGAAACCAAACCCTAATTAATCGCGTCAAAATGTGAAAGCAGGGAAGAATCTTTATTATATAATGCTATGTATGTACAATAATTATTTACATAGTGACTCTGATACCGATGCAGAGTACGAGAGAATATCGCCAATGGGTCTCCCATTTCTTGGTTGATGAAGTAAACGCAAGTCACAAAATTAAATAAACTTTCGTAAACTTCAAGGTCCAGTTTGATCCCTTGTTCATTTCTCTGGCTAGAATTCTAGAGAACTGAGGCTTTTGAATATTTTAAACTTATACTTCAATATTTGAAAAAAGAAACTTACGGAGAATGTTGGCGTTGTTTCCAGAACTGAGTTCAAATCCATTTTCCTCTAGAAGTTTGGTGAGTAAAGTTTCTTCCGGTCGACAACCTAAATCATCAAAATAAAATTATTAAACAAACAAGACCAAATAATAGATTTTTTAGATGAACATGTTACAAGAAAATAATGCTTAATCCAAATAAATTAATAGTGGGTGATGTTTCGGTAACAGCATTGTTACCGAAACATTACACAATATATAATTTATCAGGATTAGGCGTTAATTTCTTGTAGCAATAATCTATAATCCAAATTTTACTTTATCATAGATGAACATGTGTAATTTGAATTTAGGATTAAGTTAAATAATGGTCAACACCTAATGGCTGAGCTAACATACCTTTAGAGAGAGAGAGAGAGAGAGAGATGGGTGTGAGGGGGCACTTCTCTACAAAGGTCAGTTTTCACCACCAAAATGATCAGTTTTACCAGTTAGCTGTCCTCTGGTTAAAGGACACCTCTCTCTAAAGGACACTCTGGCTCTGCGACTAAGTCTTGTCCTTTAAGAGAGCTGTCCTTATATCAGAGAGCAGCTAATTGGTTAAAATGGTAATTTTGGTAGAGAAAACTGTCCTTTGTAGATAAGTGTCTGCTGAGGGAGTGTTCTCTTATGTTCTTGTGTTCTACTGATGATCAACATTCTCTGATTTGCTGGAGTAAAGGAAGATTTGCCAACCACACTATTATAAAATTGTAAAATTTCTCAAATATAAAAATTTCTGTAATTCCTTTTGAGAATTCGAAACTATTATAGACGCGTATGAAGGTGCACTATGTATCATGTTATAATTCCTTTTGAATGACTCCTTTAGACCCCAGTTAAATCTGCAACTTGATCAATCCACTCCCACTAAATCAGTGTATCAGTCAACTCTACCCAGTTTACACTAACAACATTATGGTGCAATTTGGATTAGAATTTAGGAGCAAAAAACAACAAGATTGTTAAATATATCACAGAATTAAGGAGCATTTAGTGAGAAACCCTCCCAGCAGGTGATTCATATAGAGTTAGCCAAAGTAACAAAGTGACCAATAGCATTGATAAAAGAGATTCCAGTTCAGAACTAACTTTATTGGATACTGCTCACAGAGAGCAACAATATTTACAATGGTGAATATACGCCAGCTCATCTCATTTCCAGTGTTTTCACATATTTACAAGTTTAGTGTGAAGGATGCTTGGTACTGGATGTTTTTCTTATGACTTCAGCTGGTTTAATCTTCACTAGTTTATAGTTTTGAATATATATATACTAGCGGACGTACCCGGCTTCGCTCGAGGTTTTACCCGAGTAAAGGTTTGTCTAACGAACATTTGTTAAAACAATTCTCTATAAACTTATAAAAAAAAAGATATATTTTGATAATTTGAAACTCGTAAATTTGAATCTCTCGATAAAGTGAACATTTTTCCCCGGTCCCTGTGTGCCGTGTCATCCTGAATTTTGTCTTTCATAATTTTCTACATTACAAAATCATCGTTTTATCTAGTGAACATATTTTCCCGGTCCCTTGAAAAATACTCGATAAGTTGAATAAAATCATGGTCGTGAATCTCTCGATAAAGTGATTATTTTTTCCCGGTCCCTGTGTGCCGTGTCATCCTGAATTTTGTCTTTCCTAATTTTCTACATTACAAAATCATCGTTTTATCTACATATTTTCCCGGTCCCTTGAAAAATACTCGATAAGTTGAATAAAATCATGGTCGTTTATGGAAGATGGACGTAGTTCCCGGAGGTCACCCGCCCCCCGCTTGCGAGTTAAAGCTACAAATCTGCAAATAACTCTAAGGATATTTAAGATATTCAAGAAATTATTTTTCGTAAACCTTTCCGGGGATATGCCTAATAATATCCCAAATTTTCACGGCGATTGGATGTATGGTTTTTGAATCCATAGAGGACACACACACAGACACACAGACATTCAATTTTATATATATAGATATATATGCCCGGCCTCGCCCGGGTTTTACCCGAGTGAATGTTTGTCTAACGAACATTTGTTAAAACAATTCTCTATAAACTTATAAAACGTACTCGGCTTCGCCCGGGGTTTTGCCAGAGTAAAGGTTTGTCTAGCGAACATTTGTTAAAACAATTCTCTAAAAACTTATTTAAAAAAAAAAAAAAAGATATATTTTGATAATTTGAAACTCGTAAATTTGAATCTCTCGATAAAGTGAACATTTTTTCCCGGTCCCTGTGTGCCGTGTCATCCTGAATTTTGTCTTTCCTAATTTTCTACATAAGAAAATCATAGTTTTATCTAGTGAACATTTTTTCCTGGTCCCTTGAAAAATACTCGATAAGTTGAATAAAATCAATATTAATTGGTTCCCTCTGTAATTGGAAGTTAAAGGAATAGTATCTTCGCCTTGGAATTGTATCATTATTCTTGTCTCAAATAAATTGCCGTGTCATCCTGAGATAATCTTACTTTTGATAAATAATATTTAAGATAACAAACTTAGTGATAAGAAAACTTGTTATCATCGTCACAATGGGGGCGCTGCTTGCGAGTTAAATCTACAAATCTGCAAATAACTCTAAGGATATTCAAGATATTCATGAAATTATTTTTCAAAAACCTTCCCGGTGATATACCTAATAATATCCCAAAATTTCACGGTGATTGGATGTATGGTTTTTGAATCTATAGAGTACAGACAGACAGATATTCAATTTTATATATATAGATTTACTCTTCATTGTTGGCTTTTTATCTTACATTCATTCTTCATTGTTGGCTTTTTATATTACATTCACTCTTCATTGTTGGCTTTTTATATCATATTTACTCTTCATTGTTGGCTTTTTATCTTACATTCATTCTTCATTGTTGGCTTTTTATATTATATTTACTCTTCATTGTTGGCTTTTTATCTTACATTTATTCTTCATTGTTGGCTTTTTATATTATATTTACTCTTCATTGTTGGCTTTTTATCTTACATTTATTCTTCATTGTTGGCTTTTTATATCACATTTACTCTTCATTGTTGGCTTTTTATCTTACATTCATTCTTCATTGTTGGCTTTTTATATCATATTTACTCTTCATTGTTGGCTTTTTATCTTACATTCATTCTTCATTGTTGGCTTTTTATATTATATTTACTCTTCATTGTTGGCTTTTTATCTTACATTTATTCTTCATTGTTGGCTTTTTATATTATATTTACTCTTCATTGTTGGCTTTTTATCTTACATTTATTCTTCATTGTTGGCTTTTTATATTACATTTACTCTTTATTGTTGGCTTTTTATCTTACATTCATTCTTCATTGTTGGCTTTTTATATCATATTTACTCTTCATTGTTGACTTTTTATCTTACATTCATTCTTCATTGTTGGCTTTTTATCTTACATTCATTCTTCATTGTTGGCTTTTTATATTATATTCTGACCAAAATCTATCTGTGAACTTCACACAGACAGAATAAGGCAATTATATAAGTAGATTTACTCTTCTTTGTTGGCTTTTTATCTTACATTCATTCTTCATTGTTGGCTTTTTATATTACATTTACTATTCATTGTTGGCTTTTTATCTTACATTCACTCTTCATTGTTGGCTTTTTATCTTACATTCATTCTTCATTGTTGGCTTTTTATATTACATTCACTCTTCATTGTTGGCTTTTTATCTTACATTCATTCTTCATTGTTGGCTTTTTATATTACATTTACTCTTCATTGTTGGCTTTTTATCTTACATTCACTCTTCATTGTTGGCTTTTTATATTATACTAGACGAATGGCCCGGGCAACGCCTGGGTTTTACCCGAGTGCGTATATATTTTAAAAATGTTTTAATTAAAATACTATTCGTTACAATTATAAATTGGCGCCGTGGATGTCTCTCTTGTGAAACGTCCCGCCCCAAACTGTGTGTGTCTTGAAAATATAAAAATAAAAATGTAAACGGAAAAATATGTCCAGGGTAGCCTAGTGGTCATGGCATCTGCCCAGTAAGCGGAAGGTCGTGGGTTCGATTCTGTGCTGAGAACATGTAAGAAAACATCTACGTATGTTTTCCCACGTGACGCAGCGGGGCGTGACCTTGCCAGCACGGGTGAGTCAGTTGTTGTTTTGCTCTCTGTTTGAATGGACATTAAAACATGGTGGCAGCGATAACTGGATAAAATACGAACCCGTATATTGCAAAATATCGATTTTTGCGTACCTTGGAAGATAATTCAACATGGCTCAGATTCAACCTCCAGAAACTTTCGACTTCTCGACTCCCAACGAATGGCCCAAATGGAGGAAGAGATTCGAACGATACCTCGTGGTCAGTGGAATAAAGAAGAAAGAGGAGGCGGACAAGATCGATTTGTTCATGTACTTGATGGGTGACCGCGCGGATGATATATTCAGGACCTTCAAGTTCGAAAAGGAGGAAGAGGCAACGAAAATTGATTCCGTCCTCAAGGCGTTCGACAGCCACTTCTGTGTCAGGAAGAATATTATCTACGAACGTGCGAAATTTAATTCAAGAATCCAAGAGGATCGGGAGCCAGTGGACGAATTCATCACTTCATTGTACAAATTGGCTGATAGTTGCGAATTTGAGGGTCTTCATGAGCAGGTGATCCGTGACCGAATTGTGGTTGGAGTGAGGGACAAAGCTTTATCTGAAAGAATGCAGTTGGACAGCGAACTGACTTTGGAAAAGGCGGTGAAAATGGTTCGACAGCAGGAAGCCGTTCGACAGCAGCAAGTCGACCTGCAGCGTCCCTCAACAAGCCAAAAGGTCAATCAGGTGAAGTTCAACTCGAAGAAACAATCACCGAAACAACAACAGCAGCCTTCGAGGAAGAAGGAGAAGTCAGCCAAAACAAGATCACGATGTCCAAAATGCGGAGGTTTCAACCACAGGGAAGGACAGGCTTGCCGTGCTGAAGGACAAAGATGCAACCTATGTTCAAAAACTGGCCATTTTGCAAATTGCTGCCCAGATAAGCAGGCGAAGACTGCGGAAGTCAAAGCTGTTTCTGAACTTGATGAAGAAATTGGTTTTCTCCTGGAGGTCTCAGCTGTGGAGGATTCATCTAATCTCGATGATGATGAAGGCGAGTGCAGGAGGCGATGGACAGCAGAAATCCAAGTGAACGGGAAAAAGGTGAAGTTCAAGCTCGACTCCCAGGCGGATGTTACATGTGTTCCTCTGTGTCTCTTCAAGAAGATAATGGGACAGCAACGACTAGTGGAAAGTGATATCAACCTTAGAGCTGCTGAATTTTCCGAACTTCAGACTGTGGGTATGTTTATATCAACGCTGCGAAATGGCAATTATGAAATCAAGGAGAAGATTTATGTCATTCGTCGTTTGAGTGAACCTCTTCTGAGTCGCCGGGCATGTGAGCTCTTGAACCTGGCGAGGCGGATTGAAGTGGTTGCGACGAGAATTAACCCAATCAAGGAATTCCCTGAAGTATTTGAAGGACTGGGACAGATCGGAAACCCTTACGAAATCAAATTGAAACCTGGAGCAAAACCATATGCTGTGCATACTCCTCGACGGGTACCAATACCTTTGATGGAAAAGCTCAAAACAAGATTGGAAGAGCTCGACAAAGACGAGATGTTGACGAAGATTTTTGAAGCTCAACAAGAAGATACGACCCTGAAAGCAGTAGTCAACTACCTTGAGCAAGGCTGGCCAGATAAGAAGAAGATGTCACCGGCTCTGCTCTCTTATTGGCATGTCAAGGATGAACTCGGCGTTCAAAATGGACTACTGATGCGTAGCTGTCGTCTTGTTATTCCAGCAAGTATGAAACTGGAGATCCTAGATAAGTTGCACGCTGGGCACTTCGGGATTACAAAAACAAGACTTCACGCACGTGAGACGGTATGGTGGCCTGGAATTTCGGAGGAGATCGCGGAAACGGTCAGAAAGTGCAGTGTCTGTATCCAGGAAGCCGTCTCAAAACATGAACCTTTGATACCAACCAACTTTCCTACACGACCGTGGCAAAAGATTGGAATGGATTTGTTCAAGTTCGAGAATAAGTGGTATCTAGTCGTCATTGACTATTATTCTCGCTTTCCTGAAATGATTCAGCTGGATCGGCTCACAGCCAATGTGGTGGTGCGTAGTTGCAAATCCATATTTGCCCGACATGGAATACCAGAAACTGTTGTAAGCGATAATGGGTCGCAATTTGGAGCTGCTCGTGAATTTGCAAATTTCGCAAGGCAGTACGGATTCACACATGTCACTTCAAGTCCTCGATTCCCGCAGAGCAATGGGATGGCAGAAGCAGGTGTGAAAATTGCTAAGAAAAATCAAGACCCATCGCTTGGACTCCTGGAGTATCGATCGACCCCTTTGGAGAACGGTTACAGCCCTGCTGAGCTTCTCATGGGACGTAAACTCCGAACGACCTTGCCAATTGCACCAGAGAATCTTAATCCAAAGTTGGTGGACTCTCAGACCCTGAAAAGAAAGGAGGGGAGAAGGAGAAAGGATATGAAATCCAGATATGATCGACGCTGCGGAGCTACGGACATGGAGGAGCTATCCGAAGGTGACACGGTTTGGATTACAGATATGCGAACCTGGGGGATTGTAAAGCAGAAGGCATCGACACCAAGGTCATATATGGTTGATACTCCAGTTGGGACTTTACGTCGAAACAGGTTCCATCTACGAAAAGGAGTTACAGTGCAATATCCAGCCGACCCATCGACGCCGACCTTTTCGGGGGAGGAACTGGTTGAAAATTAAAAGACCCCAGTTGTGGATTATCCCTCTAACGACTCAGAAGACGGCCAGATAAGAACCCGGAGTGGACGAATTGTTAAACCTGTGGATCGCCTTCATTATTAATTATATTATGCATTTAAAGTTTGTAATGTATATATATATTTCAAGTCTTAAAAAGGGGGATGTGCTGAGAACATGTAAGAAAACATCTACGTATGTTTTCCCACGTGACGCAGCGGGGCGTGACCTTGCCAGCACGGGTGAGTCAGTTGTTGTTTTGCTCTCTGTTTGAATGGACATTAAAACAGATTCCCATCCCTTGACACTTTTTTTATTTTATCCATTCTGACCAAAATCTATCCGTGAACTTCACACAGAGAGAATAAGGCAATTATATAAGTAGATAATCCAAATTGTGCCTTATCACACACTATTTTTTTATTTGGCCTTATTACCTTGTGTTTATAATCTATGACGTAATGCCGGCGGCGCGCGCCCGTTGGCTGCCGGCGAGCACGTGACCTCCCTGTGCGCGCGCATCCGTGACAGAACCGGCCCATGACGGTCGTGACTATATATAGGGATAATAATAATAATAATAATATAATAATAATAATAATAATTATTATTATTATTATTATTATTAGATAATGATAATGATCATAATGATGATGCGCGCGCATCCGTGACAGAACCGGCCGGCCGGCCCATGACGGTCGTGACTATATATGTTGATTTTTAGATTGAGATTATTAGCTAGTATGTAAAAAAAATTAACTCTGTTGAAATTTAATTTTGTATTTATATATAAATAAAATTAACTCTGTTGATTTTTTTTGTATTTAATCGATAACAGCGAAGTTACGCATGTTAATGTTAGGAAATATATTTTGATGTTAAGCAAAACCTGCTCCATCTCGTTTTACATAAATGTTGAAAATTTGGTTGAAATTGATGCATTGTAACGAAAGTTTTTAGCGAACACCACTTATGAAATTTGCATTTTATTAATATAGATGTTATATAAAAATATTATTTTATTTTTTAAATTATAATTTCATAGATTCAAATACTCTGCTAAATCGACCGCCAGAGGTCACTCTTCCCCTATAAAAACTCGTTGTTGTTCTTTACCGATGGCCGGCTCAAAACTTTTGTACATTATGTAAATAAGCTTTTCATTTTTTTATACTCGCCTTAAGCCAGGCATTACTTTTTATCAAATTATGTTCTTTTATATATTCCTTTAGTTCAATTAAATTACTGATCAAAATTATTTTTATTATCATACTTTCAAGATTTAACCACGACTGCATCACCATCGCCATAATCCTCAACATGGTCTAAAATCAAGCAGAAAATCTCATTCATCTCTTTATTTATAACATATATATATATTAAAAATAAAAAAGGCATCTCCTGACCACGAGCACATGTGCTTTTTAGATGGCAGAGCGTCATCTAGTGGAGCAAAAATAAACTAAACGTTTATTTAGCTTGCTCCGTGATATTTGGCCAACCCAATTTCTTGATAAATCAAGAAAAGCCATCCACGAACGCGTTTCGCGCTGTTGGCGCTCGTCAGCGTGGAGTAGGCCGTAACCAAAACGTGTTCGTGGATGGCTTTTCTTGATTTATCAAGAAATTGGGCTGGCCAAATATCACAGAGCAAGCTAAATAAACGTTTAGTTTATTTTTGCTCCACCAGATGGCACTCTGCCATCTAAAAAGCACATGTGCTCGTGGTCAGGAGATGCCTTTTTTATTTTTAAAATCAACACCTGACCCAATTATCATTTATTTTTTAAACAGGTCAGGTGTTGATGCGAAAGAACTGAAAAGCACATGTGCTCCTGATCAGGATATGCCTTTTTTATTTTAAAAATATATATATATACAGTAGAACCTCTCCATACAAAGGACATCTAGTTGCAGCACCAAAGTGTCCTTTAATGATAGTTATTCTTTTACCAGAGAGTTGCTAAAATGTAAAAATGCCAATTTTGATTATGAAATATCCTTTGCAGAGAAGTGTTATCTAGCATAAGTGTCCTCTCGTGGAGGTTCTACTGAACATATTTTCACATTTTCCCATTATTTTTATTCCAACATCCAAATTGACCTAATCAAATGAGGACTATATCATCCAAATCATTGGCAGTGAACATACGATTGGACTGTTGTATATGTTGGACTGGATAGCAAGCCGAGGAATCCATCTTTTCCATGACATCAACAGCTGGTAAGATTAAATTCTTTCATTTTATTACCTTTCCCCCAAACAATTCCACAAAAC